TTAAGCTACCAGAAACTGGTTTGGAAGAGAAAATGGTACTGCCGTGTGCTGAGCTTGAATGTTGTAGCTGTAATTCATAAATTGTGGGATGATCAGAGGTGGAATTGTGTTTAATCACCTGAAAACAAGATGATAAAGTCATGCATGAAATTAATTAGCCTGGATTACTCTGGAAAATAAGATATGAAACAGAATTTTCACATGCAAACTCATCCGAGAGTAGTTGCACAAAACTCTGGAGTTATGATTGTATTTTTGCTGCTGCCGAACTGATTTCTGGTCTGGAATGATAGTTAATCAACTCAGTAATTGTGCATGTGAGAATTAAGGGCAAAATACAAGGTTTTAATGTGGTTTTAATGTACAAGGAAAAATTCTGTTTTGATGTAGAAAAATTTCTGCCGAGAGTTGTTTTGAATAATATAGTTTCATGTGGAATAATCTTGCTGTTTTAAGCCTCTAACCATGACTAACTAGTAAATTACAAGATGATTAAGCTACGCATGTAGTTAATTGGTTGAGTTAGAACAGAAAACAAAAAGAAAAATGCAATCAGTTTCTGTGCAGATTTCAACCGAGGCTAGCTAGAATTTAATTTGAAGACTCTTGTTGTTGTTCGAATTTAATTCTTGAACCAAAAATGTTAGTCAGTTAGTTAAGTAGTTGTATGTTGAATTTGAGTATTTAAATCCCTGAATAAGCCAAGGAAGAATTTTATACAAGATAAATGGTTGCTGGAAAATTTAGCTAACCAAACGTTTGAGCAGAAAATATTGAATTGTTTCTGAATTTCACTAGTTGATGTTTGAATATTTTCCTTGGCATAAAATGGTTTCGAAACACAGAAAAAGGGTGTATTTTAAGATATACATGTTGTTTAGCAATGAAACATTTGAATTGTTAGCCTTGTTGCTACAAGAATTACGGGTTGGGTGCTAGGGGCTAATGATTGACGAAGCCCTTGGCCATTTGAATAATTTTATAAGTACTACAGGGTGATGAAAGTTAATTGCTGGAATGTCTTGGAGGCTTTACTTTTATTTTTATTGGCTTATGATGGGCTTGCTGAGACCAAGTGCTAATGATTGATGAAGCCTTGGTTGATCATTTTATTTTATTCAGAAATGCACTTGTTGAAATCTAGGGCTAATGATTGACGAAGCCCTAGTAATTTGCTATGTGAATTTTTGCCATATTTTGATCCATATTATGATTTCGAAACGGAATCGGAGCTGTGGAAGTTGTATCGATCTTGCGAACTCGAGTAGCTGCGATCAAAATTAATCAAAAATATTTTCCAGCTAGTATTATATTATAAAAACTCCATATCTAGTGTTTTGCCTAAAACTTTCCAACTCGATAATTTCATTTAGCTCAAACTAGCCTTGATAGCTATAGTAAGTAAGTTCTATAGCTTTTGGAAACTCTAAGTCTTATTTTAATTCTTTTTTTCTTTCCTTAAGCTTTGCACTTGGATAGTTAACTATAGGAAAAGTTCCAAAATACGAGCTTTACTAATTTTAGTGAAAAGCTTGGGAGACTTGCTCGGCAAGAAACCCTATTTTAAGAAAAATAGTTTTTAAGGATAATTTTTGCAAAAGCCGTAACTTTAGAGAAATGTTCAAAGTAACTTTCTAACATTGTTGTTAAGAGTTTTGCCGACTCATTTCAAGAAAATGATACTAGTTACCCTTTATAAGGAAGAGTATCTTACGGAAAACTATAAGAAACATTTCTTCTAAGTTTGTCAAATTTCAACCTAAGTAGATTCCTAATTTTTCTAAGGGTAGTAAACTCGTAATATATTAAGTATACCTCTGCATGTATAAGCTTAAAAACTGAATAGAAACTTATAGTTTCAAAATTTGGTTTTTAGGATTTTGCGAGGACGCGGAATTCGATTCTCAACTTGATATCTGAACTCCACTCTTGGTAAGTGTCCCTGCCTGTTCTATGATTACTTGGTTAAAGTGCTTTCTTGACTCGATATGTGATAATTTGCAAAACTAGTTTTTGATCCATCGAAGTGAGCAGTGTGTACTTTATCGCACTAGCCGTTCGAGTGGTGACTTGCGTGAATCATTTTTCTCATGAATCCTTGAATCCAAATGTAGTTACGTCGTTGGGTGAATCCCTCGGCACATGAATCTAACTACAATAACGTCGTTGGGTGAATCCCTCGACAAATTATCTACGGGTATATCTCGAGTATACTGCGTCCTTAGTCGACGTTCGGGCCCGGGACCGGGGTATGAATGGTGACGGGTTAGGATTAAAATGAGTGGATCTACATGGACTATAAGTAGTGAGAGTTGACGGAGGGTCAACTACGATGAATGGCGATCAAGCGAGGAAAATGGCTCCTGAGAGCCCCTGTATCCTACCTTGTGTTGTTATACGCTTTCCTAACTGTTCAATTTGTTTAAGTTATTTCTCGCTGTTTGATTTACGTGAATGCATGTTTTGGGGCACCACTGAGCGTTAGCTCACCCCACGTTTATTTGTTTTCCTTACAGGTCTGGAAGTTGAAAGAATTTGAGCTGCTTATATTTCCTATGAATGTTTTTGAATAGCTTGAATTTAGATTTCGGTTTGTAATGAATTCTACGTTAAGTACTGTACCTTTTATTTTGGTTGCCACTTGAAGCTGGAAAAATGTAATCCCAAATTCTAATATTCGGTTTGTATGTTTTTATTAGTATAGTATGTCTTTAACCTTGCGAGTAACGTGTGAAGTGGTTAAGAGCCGTCGTTTGGCTAAGTTGTATGCCGTTATCTTTGAAGCTAATGAGGTGATAGAAATTGATTTATTTCGGAAGAATTATTTTTTGTAGTAGTTTAGGTTAATCCCTGGAGGATTTTAAGCTAGAATGCTTGCGTGAGTCCTGGCGAGAGCTGGGCAGACGGCCCGCCAACCCTTTGGTTCGCCTTAGGGGGAAGTGGGGTCGCCACAGGTGGTATCAGAGCCTAGATTAGAAAAGTTATTTGAGAGATATACTATACGAGCTAGAAATCCTGATCCTTTCTAGAAGTAAGAATTGAGACCATTAATACATCTTAAGTAATACCGATTCGATTAGCTATTGAGTTCTAACCTCTAAGTTTTAATTCTTTTGCAGGTATGGAAATGGTAATGCACCGCTAATGGTAATGGGCGTCTAACGGACATATAGAGCCTCTTAGGTCCATCTCTTATAGGCCACGTGGCGGAGGAGCTCATATACGTTACACCCAGCTGATAGGCATCCTCGGTGTCAGTGTAGGGCCACTTATGCCTACCCCAATGAGCTAGTACTATCCCTAGATGATGAGCGTCGCCAGCTGAGGGACGCTAACTTCACTTTGTCTCAGGACGTAGAGGAGCTGAGTATCATGGTGGACACTCAGTTCGACCGCATAGCGGAGTTAGAGCAGAGGGTAGCAGCGGAGCATGCTAGGCTGGAGGCTGCTCGCGTAGAGATAGCGCGTCAGAGAGCGAGGGTGACTCGATTGGCCGAGAGGATACGTGATAGGAGTGTCGGTATCAGGGCTGATGCCGTGATGATGATAGATGAGGCCACGAGTATCCTTCAGAGTGTTGAGCAGGAGGACCCGGAAGAGGATCCGGAGGAGGATCCAGAGGAGGACCCGGAGGATCCGAGGAGGACATAGCTCCCGATAGCCCTGCTGAGGGTTAGGCTTGGATCGATTCGACCATATTGGATATGTAGGTTAGAATAGGGGGACATTAGCTAGGTCATCAAGTTTTGTCTAGGTGGATGACTTGCTTCGGAGGCACCATATCCCTAATTTTTGTTTAAGGGACTATTTGTATGTATTTTTGCTAGTCATGTGCCTTACTTTTGGAAATGTCCCAACTTATTATTTGTATGACTTTCACTTAGAAATATATGTTAAGTGTTTTACTTACTTTTTCCTCCCCATTTACTAAGGAAATAATAATAATTATAAATAAATAATACTTCGCCTAATCGCCTTATCCTTCCATAATAGGCATAATTTAGACTATGGATCGCCAAGTGATAGGAAGGGCCGGGGAGACCCACTAGACAACACCCGGAAGCGGGTAGAGATAGGGAACCCGAGGTCAATCCAGACCAAGGGCAAGAGGGCGGGGCCGGAGATGGAGTGGCCACCGCTATTAACCGTATCACTGACGTTCTAGAGCGCTTGACTGAAAACCAAGCCACTGGACCAGTGCGTCATCAGGGGGCCCAGTTGTTCCGATGATCGGGCACTGGAAAGGTTCCTGAAGTTTGGACTCCCAAGTTCTACGGAGGACCCGAGCCGGAAGTGGCTGAAGGCTGGTGGGAGAGGATCACTGAGATCTTCACCGCCTTAAACTATACGGAGGAGCGAAAGGTGACTTTTGCCACCTTCCAGTTTGAGGGAGCCTCGCTCCTGGTGGAACCTAATGAGGGTTCATTGGGAGACTAATCATACACCAAGGACTTGGGTGAACTTCACAAGGGAGTTCAATGCCAAATTCCTTCCACCTCTCATTCAAGAGAAGAGAGAGGATGATTTCATTAGATGCAAGCAAGGGGCGATGAGTGTCGCCGAATATGAAATCCAGTTCACAAAGCTATCCCGCTTTGCACCTGAGTTGATAGCCACCGAGCAAAGGCGTGTTCGGAGGTTTGTGCAGGGTTTGAATGTGGAACTACAGGAAAGTTTAGCCGCCGTAAGGATAGATACTTTCCAGATGCTGTCGAAAGAGCTCAGAGAGTTGAAGTAGCTAGAGCTCAAGTGAAATCTTTTCAAGCTAAGAAAAGATTTGCCCCCAGCAGTAGTCGAGAGCCGACGTATGGAAATACTCCACCGGCTAAGTGGGCCGACGTACAGGCGGAGTGACTAGTCCCGGAGCACCGCGAGGTGCATTAGCAAGGGGAACCGGGGCAAGGAATGCAGGGGGAAGAAACAATGGAACTAGAGGGGGACCGATTGGAAGAGCACAACCTAGGAATACCTCGCAAGGAGGCCGAGCCATAATTCCCCAAATGACTTGTGCATATTGTAAGAAACCTGGTCATACTATGGATGACTGCTGGAAGAGGCAAGGAAAGTGCTTGAAATGTGGAAGTAGCGAGCACCAAATTTCTGGATGTCCAAAAATGCAGGAAGGGACTACTTCGAACGCTAGACCAAACACTTCTGGAGGGAGCCGGCCGACAGTTCCTGCCAGAGTGTATGCTATAGGTGACCAACCTGTACCTGATTCCTCGGAAGTGGTGGAAGGTACACTTCCGATTTTTCATCGATTAGCTAAAGTGTTAATTGACCCTGGTGCAACCCATTCATTCGTAAATCCATCTTTTATGTCTGGAATAGATGTGCAACCTGTTAGATTACCCTTCGATCTTGAAGTTAGGACTCCCATGGGTAATAAGAATGTAATCACTAGTCGTTTGGCTTATAAGAATTGTGAATTCTGGATTGGAGAGCGTAAAATGCTAGTGGATTTGATCAGTCTGGACATAAAAAGGTTACGATGTTATAATAGGAATGGATTTTCTAGGCCATTATCATGCTAAACTTGACTGCCGAGCGAAAGTGGTGGAATTTTGTATACCTGGTGAAGCAACCCTGAGGTTAGATGTCAAGGGTAGGTTAGCATCATCTGCTATGATCTCAGGAATCCGAGCAAGGAAAATGTTGTCTAAAGGAGCGCAAGGTTTCTTAGCTTCTTGATAAACGCCCCAGTGATCAAGTGAAGCTGGAGGATGTACCAGTGGTACGGGAATTTCCGGATGTTTTTCCCGAAGAGCTAAGGACTCTACCCCCGGAAAGGGAAGTGGAATTTAAGATTGACTTGATACCTGGAACGGCTCCAATTTCTAAGACCCCATATCGAATGGCTCCTGCCGAGCTAAAAGAATTGAAAATTCAATTACAGGATCTGTTGGAGAAGGGTTTTGTGAAGGAGAGTGATTCACCATGGGGAGCACCCGTCCTATTCGTTAAGAAAAACGATGGAAGCTTGAGGTTATGTATCGATTACCGAGGGTTAAATGAGGTTACAATTAAGAATAAATACCCTCTACCGTTGATTGATAGCTTATTCGACCAACTGCAAGGGTCAGTGGTCTTCTCTAAGCTGGATTTAAGGCAAGGGTACTATCAGTTGAAGATCAAGAAGGAAGATATACCTAAGACTGCTTTTAGTACGAGATATGGACATTTTGAGTTTGCAGTCATGCCTTTTGGATTAACCAACGCACCAGCTGCTTTCATGGACCTGATGCAGAGAATTTTTAAGAAGTATCTGGATCAGTTTGTAGTGGTTTTCATAGATGATATCCTGATTTACTCTAAGACTCGAGAGGAGCATGCTAAGCATTTAGAGGTGGTTTTGCAGATACTAAGAGAACATAAGCTGTATGCCAAATTCAGTAAGTGTGAGTTTTGGTTGACTGAAATATCTTTTCTAGGGCACAGAGTTTCTGAAGATGGAATTGCCGTGGATCCGGCAAAGTTGAGGCCATTATGAATTGGAAACAACCAGAAACTCCAACTGAAGTTAGAAGTTTCTTGGGTTTAGCAGGTTATTATAGGCGATTTATTCAGGATTTCTCGAAGATTGCAGGACCTATGACTGAGCTAACCAAGAAAGGAGCCAAGTTTGTCTGGACTCCGAAGTGCGAGTCAAGTTTTCAGGAACTAAAGAAGCGGTTAACATCCGCTCCCGTTTTGGTTTTACCGATGGAGGTGAAGGTTATGCTGTATATTCTGATGCTTCCAGAGAAGGTCTGGGATGTGTCTTAATGCAAATGGGTAAGGTAGTTGCCTATGCTTCTAGGAGATTGAAACCCCACGAACAAAACTACCCAACTCATGACCTAGAACTAGCCGCAGTAATTTTCGCCTTGAAGAAATGGAGACACTACTTGTACGGCGTGACTTTTGAAGTTTATACGGACCATAAGAGCCTCAAGTACTTGTTCTCCCAAAAGGACTGAATTTGAGACAAAGGCGATGGGTAGAATTTCTGGAAGATTATGACTGCTCGATTAATTACCATCCAGGAAAAGCCAATGTGGTGGCTGACGCTCTTAGTAGGAAGGCCCAAGTAGCAGGGTTAATGGTAAAAGAGTGGGATATGTTAGAGGAATTAAGTGGTTGGAACCCTCGCTTGGAGAAATTGAAGGTTTTATTTGGGAACTTATCATTGAAGTCACCGTTACTAGAGCGTATTAAGGAGGCCCAGAAAATGGACCCTATGATTCGGAAGAATCTGGAAAAAGTGCAAAAAGGGGAAACCCTAGACTTCAAATTAGGGCCTGAAGGGGTATTGAGGTTTCGAGATCGAATTGTGATTCCGGCAGATGAGGAGCTAAGGAAAGGAATTCTAGAAGAATCACATCGGTCGAAGTATACTATACACCCAGGTGTGCCAAGATGTATCACGATGTGAAGGGATTATACTGGTGGGAAGGTTTGAAAAAGGACGTGGCAGCGTTTGTACAAAGATGCTTGATCTGCCAACAAGTAAAAGCTGAACATCAAAAGCCCTCTGGTTTATTGCAACCGTTAGAAATCCCTGAATGGAAATGGGAACACATAACAATGGATTTTGTAACGGGACTACCTAAAAGTCAAAAAGGTTTTGATGCAATTTGGGTAATAGTCGATCGACTCACTAAGTCTGCACACTTCTTACCGTAAGCATGAGTTTTTCATTGGAAAATTGGTCAAGTTGTACACAGAAGAGATCCTAAGGTTACATGGTATTCCAGTGAGTATTGTGTCTGATCGAGACCCAAGATTCGTCTCGCGTTTTTGGCAGAAATTTCAGGACTCCTTGGGGACCAAGTTGAAGTTTAGTACTGCGTACCATCCCCAAACCGACGGGCAGTCGGAAAGGACAATTCAAACTCTGGAGGATCTACTGAGGTCGTGTATACTGGATTTTGGAGGTAAGTGGAGCCAATATATGACCTTAGTGGAATTTGCATATAATAACAGCTATCAGGCTTCGATTCAAATGGCACCTTATGAGGCTTTGTATGGAAGAAGGTGTCGATCTCCGATTCATTGGATGAAGTTGGAGAAAAGAAAATCGTAGATCCTACAGCTATACCTTGGATAGAAGAAGCCCAGGAGAAAGTAAAACTAATTAGAGAAAGGCTTCAAGTTGCTCAGAGTAGACAAAAGAGCTACGCCGACACAAGGAGGAAAGATTTGGAATTCGAAGTAGGAGACAAGGTTTTCCTCAGAATTAAACCCTTGAAGGGCGGAGTAGTGTCTAAGAAAGGTAAGAAGCTGAAACCAAGGTATATCGGACCTTTCGAAATTTTGAAGAAGTTGGGTTAGTAGCGTATCAATTGAAGTTGCCTGCAAGCATGGCTAAGATTCACGATGTATTTATGTTTCCATGCTTAGGAAATATTATCCTGATCCAAGTCACGTGTTGCCACTAGAAGGAATTGAGGTGATGAAACGTTAACGTATGAAGAAGGACCGGTCAGGATTTTGGAGAGAGAAATGAAGGAACTGAGAAATAAGGAAATTCCTCTGGTGAAGATTCTATGGAAGAATCATGGACTCGAGGAAGCAACGTGGGAGTTAGAAGAAAAATGCAGAAAAAGTACCCCGATTTATTTATCCAGAATGTGTGAATTTTGAGGACAAAATTCATTGTAAGGAGGGGAGGATGTGAGAACCTTGAATTTTGCAGATAAATATCAATGCATACTTCAATTTCACTTTTATTTAGCATTCGTATTCCTTAATCTTTTCTAGTATTACTTTCACTCGCTTTTATATACTAGTGCATATTTCATTCGTAGTTCTTATTCTAATCAATAACATTATTTCATTTTTTTTAATAAGTAAATTAAAAATAACTTTTATGTGCAAAAAAATATATAACGGTGCTAACTATTAAAGCACTTAGCTTTGCTTCACTAAGTTAATAATTCTTGAGTTATATTAAGTTTACTCCTTAAAAATAATTCTTTAATTTTCAATAGCTAATTTTATTTTCGAATAAGGTTAAGTGCAGATAGAAACCTTAATATTATTTTGCAACCGATAAATTCTAGATAAAAACAATACAAGTATTCTAATCATACTTAAGTCGTAAAAAAAATTCCGATAATCAAAGCCTTGCAAGATTAGCGTATAATTAGGCGTTCAAATCACACTTGGGGATAATTTTTGGAGTTAAGTTAGAGCTAAGGACTTAAGTGGATAATAGGAGGAGAAGTGAAAAGACTAAACTACCCTCACAATTTCACAAAAACACCCCACGGCCATAACCATTCCACGCAACGCCAAACACTCCCTCGGACACAATGATCTTGCACCTCTCCATCCGGCCAATGCTCTTCTTCACCATCTGCGCACTCAATCCTTACCAACACTCCACCTCCATTCCATATCTTCTGCAACCTTTCACCCCAGGCCACACTCCACCTCCACATTGTTATCATCGACCGAGAGTGAAGGAAGGTGAGCTGCACCATATAGCCGAGAGTGGAGGGAGGAAGCTGAGAGCTGCATTTCCATTTCTGGTTCTGTCCGCAAGTATCGAAGAGGAGGAGAGGAGGAGAAACTGTGAGCAAACTTTCCTCTGCATTCTCCAAGCTCAGCCGGTTGCTAACCAGCTTCCACCATCACCAGCTGCAACCCCTACAACCCAACCAGAACCAACCTACCTGTGCGTGAGGACAAGAGCCGAGAGAGAGGGTCAGACTTCAGCATCTTGTCGAGTGAGTGAGCATCCAGTGAGGTAAATTTCTGGACTGTAAATTGGATAACCAGTGGTAGTATAAGCAAGCTCTGGACTTGCATGTGAGGACTTTAAGTTCGGATGATGTAATTAGCTATATGATGATTTGATATTAAGCTACCAGAAACTGGTTTGGAAGAGAAAATGGTACTGCCGTGTGCTGAGCTTGAATGTTGTAGCTGTAATTCATAAATTGTGGGATGATCAGAGGTGGAATTGTGTTTAATCACCTGAAAACAAGATGATAAAGTCATGCATGAAATTAATTAGCCTGGATTACTCTGGAAAATAAGATATGAAACAGAATTTTCACATGCAAACTCATCCGAGAGTAGTTGCACAAAACTCTGGAGTTATGATTGTATTTTTGCTGCTGCCGAACTGATTTCTGGTCTGGAATGATAGTTAATCAACTCAGTAATTGTGCATGTGAGAATTAAGGGCAAAATACAAGGTTTTAATGTGGTTTTAATGTACAAGGAAAAATTCTGTTTTGATGTAGAAAATTTCTGCCGAGAGTTGTTTTTGAATAATATAGTTTCATGTGGAATAATCTTGCTGTTTTAAGCCTCTAACCATGACTAACTAGTAAATTACAAGATGATTAAGCTACGCATGTAGTTAATTGGTTGAGTTAGAACAGAAAACAAAAAGAAAAATGCAATCAGTTTCTGTGCAGATTTCAACCGAGGCTAGCTAGAATTTAATTTGAAGACTCTTGTTGTTGTTCGAATTTAATTCTTGAACCAAAAATGTTAGTCAGTTAGTTAAGTAGTTGTATGTTGAATTTGAGTATTTAAATCCCTGAATAAGCCAAGGAAGAATTTTATACAAGATAAATGGTTGCTGGAAAATTTAGCTAACCAAACGTTTGAGCAGAAAATATTGAATTGTTTCTGAATTTCACTAGTTGATGTTTGAATATTTTCCTTGGCATAAAATGGTTTCGAAACACAGA